TTTCTATTATTATGAACACGGATTACAATAAATATATAGTTCCTCCTACTTTGCAATCTGATGTTCCGTTTAACAATACATTTTAGAAATGAGAATCATAATTATATGGTTTTATGAAATAATTATTATGATTTTATGAACTATATTTTTAAGTTACATTAAGAATATTTTTCATAGTAAAAAGCACTATTCTATATGTTTGGCGCCTCAGGATACTATAAATTATAGTGAAATTATGGTTATTTCAACTATATTTTTCTATCAGTGTACTGCGATGTTGCATAGCGGCGATTTGTGGATTCGTATTTATCTCAGAAATTAACATCGCGAAGGGGAATATTTATTGTACTGAAGGTGATTCAAATTGAAGTCGAAACGTCCACCCTGTTATCGTCGATTCTTTTTAAATTGTAATTCTAATTGAATATAGTTAATTATTTACGCGATAATAACCGTGTTATACTCTCATTGCCCATTTGTTAATTTTGTATTTATATTAACGAGAGTTGGATTTCAATATGTTGCCATTTCAAAAAGATTTAGCTTAAAAAAACGTATGACTTTTTCAGACGTTGCAAGTGGAAGTAATAACTGTATACGTTTACTGATGCAAAATGGAATTTCTGGACCAATAATGAATTTAATATCCTTGGCGAATAACTTTCAGAAGGAAATCAAAATTATACATTGTTTTAAATAACAATTTTCTAACTTTGCGTAATCAATCGATATCCTTAATATTCTCATTGTGTAATTATCGCGTTACCTTTATACTGAAGAAAGTCTAATGACAGACTAAAATGTTTCTAGTTCACAAGCGTTCATATGCGTTTTCATTTGCCAAATACGAGCCCTCTCCTATATTATTAATGAATATCGTCAAAATCACTAATTGTTATATATAATTTTTTAATCAGTGTCTTTCTGCTTCTTTCTCGGATGAAGATGCATTTGTTTTCTTCATGAATCTGATAGTTTAGAAACATATCTCTCTCTCTCTCTCTCTCTCTCTCTCTCTCTCTCTCTCTCTCTCTCTCTCTCTCTCTCCCTCCCTCCCTCCCTCCCCCCCCCACCCCTCTCTAAGATAGCATCAATCAAAGTAATAACCATGAAGACTAGGGTCCAGTGGGTCAATTGTTTATCTTGGGCTGGATTCACACCTTGGCAGCAAAGCAGAAGCCAATCAGAATTCACGCTGGTAGTAAACAGCACACTCTGTTAACGCAATTTAATATGACAGGAATTATTCAATCAATATCCTTCATTATTACAAAATTGCTGGAAAGTGATAATTGTTTATTTTCTGGAAAATCCATTGAGATGAGCGCACGTCATTCCGTTTATGTTTTATCAGCATTTAAGAAAGCAATAATTGTCGGATTAGCGAGTAACGAGTTTAAAGACTAGCCTTTTCGCTCGTCGCTCCCGAGAGATTTTTCGCCGGCTTAAAACCTTTCATTCTTGTACCCATTTTAAACTTCCGGAGTCATGTTTGCCACTTGACAGCTCTGCCTGTGTGTCCCAGATGTTGTCGGGCAGCGCGACGGCGAAATGGTTTTGTTAATGTGCACGTGCTTGCGTATGGAACATTTCGTGATAGATTTAGCGCCAAGCGATAGATATACCGCTTCAGAATCGTGCACGCGTGATTCCGATTGATAAATATCGAGTATGGCTGCGTATCGCACACTGTATGTCGCAACGCGGTATCGATTTGTCAGTCGTTTGATAAGAACTCTGTTGATCGTTGAAGGGAATTCTAATGAGTTAGGTATATTTCCATGCGTCGAATGGCAACGATGAGAGTAAGACAAATATTCAGTTCAGTCTGCGCCTGTGTTGAACACCTTAGCTTCTATGAAGAGGAAGAGACTGGCTTATCTCTACTCGCTCATCGTATACTTGTTGAGAAAGTTGACGAGTACATTATCGAGGAATTTAAAACTAGGATTGCAATTAATTCGGAATCGAAGTTGAGCGTCGCGGTATCGGTGACATGCGATTATCTCTTCTTGGCGTCCGTTGATCCCCTTTGATCTTCCTAGCCAAGTTTCGGATTAACGAGTCCCAAGACATGCCATGGGCACGTTATCCACGCCGGTGGCTCGTGATTTTGCTTACAGTGGGATCGAGCACGAGGATGAAGTGTACAGCGTGCGCCAGCTGGCCGCGCGTGACAGCGACGCCGATCTGGTGAAGATAGAGAAACCGTTGCCTGTCCTGGTGCCGGCCGGTGGTGCCGTGTCGACGGCGGACCCGGGTCAGGTATCGCTGAACGACGAGGAGGCCCTCGCGGAGGAGCCGGCTGTCGACAAGTCCAGGAGCGAGGATCGACCGTTCGCCGTTACCGCGTTAATCTTCCGCTCGGCCGACGAAAAGGGCGACTGCGAGAACGATTCGCGGAAGGACGGCGCCTTGCCGAAACACGCCCAGGAGGAGAAGGCGTTCGTGCAGGCTCTCAAGGAGTCCCTGGAGGAGTCGATTAAGGAATCGCTGCAGGAGAACGACGAGCCGGCAGCAGTGAACCGGCAAGACTGCCGGCAGTTCCTCGCTAAGAAGACATCCCTTATATTCCAGGTACGGCTGATGCTTTTGATACATAGGTCCCAAAACTCATAATTGACCTTTAAGAAGGTAAAAGAGGAAACAATTCTGAGAAAGTTCGTACGTCGCAATGTCTCTCTAATTGTTATTCATTGAGTTATTTAACAATTAAGTCGATCAATTATGTGCGCGCAATCCCCATTCAACGCCCGTATCTCCCCATATTTTATTTTATTTTTATTGTTTTGTTTCTAAATAAATTAATGTGTTCGTCATTAATTTTAAAGGACGGGTGTGGGGTTTCCACACTGCTTGAGCCGGTACTGTAGCGCGCAATGGGATTGGTCGACTTGATTGTTAAATAACTTAGTAAATAGTGACCAGAGAGAAAAGTGACAGAGAAACTTTCGTCTTGGATTTTTACTCTCTTTCACTCCCTGAGAAGTGAATTATGAGTTTTCGGACATCCTACAAGCGAGCAGGTTTGACTTTCTGATCTTTGGTAAATGATATTTTGGAAACTTACTAAAAGACTTGAAGTTAGAAAAATTGCTTGGGGTACGGCTGATTCTTTTCCCTCTGGCTTGCTAGTCCACGATTGGATTGTAAATTTTTATCGTTCTATATTATAATAGTACCACAATTTTTTTCTCAAGACTCTTGGAATAACATATGGTTAACAACATCAGTGTTTTCTTGACCATATCTGGCAATTTAATAATACAGAAAGTTAAAAAAGGAACGTTTGTTCACAGATGATATTTAATCAAAATTCTTTGAAAGTGAATATATTTCAATATAAGAATTTAGATTATAATGTTTAGGTTTCTGTCCATTATTTATTCTAGTCGGAGTTTCAATTAAAAGTACCACTTGGTTTCCATAGTAAGTACCGATGTGATAAACTTTAGGATGACTGTCGTTTTTATCTCGAGCCATAATAACGCACCTTTCGCCTTTTCGCCTCTGAATCTGTGTGATCTGTCTTTATTTCAGGATAAACCGACGGTACGCGATACCTCGGACAGTGCTGGATACTGCGATCGTCCACAGTCCGTCACGAGACATCTGTTTGCGCCGCTCGCAACCACCTTGCAGCAACAACAGGAACAGCAACAGCAACAACAGGAACAGCAATTATCTTGCCGGCCGCAAACGGCCACAGCGAGCATCTTCGCGCCTCGCACCGAGGACATGAACAAGGGCTTCTTGACTTTCAGCGAGGATCAGCCGGGTCTCACCAGTGCGTATTCCCCTCTGCGAAAAAGAAGCCCTCAAGCCCTTTCCGAAGCGAAGGCCAAAAAGGAAGCTTGCAAACCCTCGTTCGTGCTGTCGACTTCTCGCGAGAAAAGAGAATCTCGAGGGAAGAAGATAAGATGATGAATCGAGAATCAATTATCGTTCTTCAGAGCATAAGTTTCGTGACCCACAGAAATTCTGCCCGAAGAAAGATATATATGAGAAATCCGCGACGCGATAATTAATTATCGTGCGAGTCTCCATTTTTTCACCTCGTTTCATCTTCGATCCAATTATATTCAATCTAATTTAGTTTCCGGAGCGAAAGTTACGACGTCGGGTGATTTTGTTAATAGAATTTATTGACTTAAACTCCTTTCTTTTTGTATCGAGGTCTTCAGTTTTTTCGCGATCTATGAGATCGTTTTCATCCTCCTTTCTGGTCGACGTTTAATTACCCGTAGTCAATAATTGATTAGAGAAAGATCGCCGCCGTTGCATCGTGCTATTCGCATTTCGCAGTGTTGAAGGACGAGCCAGATGACCTGACACACCTCGCACCCACGGCTGGCGATGTATGCGTACCCTTGGATACTACTCCTTACCTGTCGGACATGCTAGACGAATTTATCTTCGGCAACGATCACTACAGCTGTCCCCTGCTTAGTCCAGGCGACACTCTGACGCCAGAGCTGCGTTCCGCTGACCTCTCAGCGTCCCTCAAGGACGCAGACTTGGTGGATTCTACTACCAGGGCCAAGGACACAGTTGACCGTCTGGCCGATAGCGATCCCTTCATGTACGGCGACTCGCCCGGAAGTCCCTGCGGCATCGACCCAAGCACCGTGTCGCCGTCCCTCTCCAAGTATCGGCAGGTGAGTAACAAAAAATCATTTACTATAAATTTATTTAAAATTTTTCTTCTCAAACGTATAATTAGCTCACATATTAACATGTACCAATTATTTCAGAGTCCTGAGCGCAGCGTGGACTCATTGGGTAGTCCTACAGGAGGTAGCGGCGGCGATGGTCTTTCCGAGGACGAGATGCTCATGTTAGGTATCAATGATAGTATAGGGGACGAAGAGTTGGCGCTCAGGGCACCTTATATTCCAATGTCGGATCAGGACGAGGCGTTAGAGCTTCTCATTAACGATGACATGGTCATGTGGGGCTCGTCGCAATCTGCCGACAAAGGATCTTCAAAGTGGTAAGTTGTATATCTAATTAATGATATGAAAATTCGCGCTGCAATAGCAATTGTAAACTATAATGTAAATAAAATTAATTTACGATAAAAGCGCAAAATAAAAAATATATATATTTCTTGGTGCTCCTTTTTCATTTTGCTGTTTCCTCCCTGGCAGGCTACTCGATGACCGAGAGCAACGTAATTCTGAATCCAGTCTGGTACAATTGTTACGAACTGACCAAGCGGTATCGCGGCGGTACAACGATCACGGCGGAGGTTTGCTAAATCCGCAGTTACTGGGACAAACGCCCAGAAAAAGTAAGTGTGTGTCCTCTTGTCCGACATTTAAAATTTACTATGCTTATTTTATTTATTTTTTTTAATATTTACAGGTATATTAAGTTAGATAGGTAGTTTATGATTAACTTTAACATCAATTAGATATAAGTATGTAAATTTTATATTTAGTTTTACACACACAGACGGACAGTTATAGAGTATCTTATTAATTGATATAATTAATATGCGTCTCATTTTGATCTTGCAGTGTTCGAATCTGATCAGTGGTCCTCTAATCAGGATCGTCCCAATAAACGCATTCACTCCGGATTTAATACGGACTCCGAGAGCGAATATAAGCGTCTTAAGTGTGACGACTCGTCTTTCGAACGTATAAATCTCGAAGACACTTTGGTGACGAAGCAACAGCGTCTGTCGACGACACTTCACAAAAAATTACTGCCAAGTCTCAGTAATAGCTGCGGCAGCCAGCTTCTGCGTCGCCTTGTCTCGTCGCAAATGCCGAGCATCACGTCGCAAGTGGCAACTCTACCCGACAGTGGTGTCGATATTTGTGGTGACGGCGAACGTCGCCGCGGGGACATTTCGAAGCCGCGCGTTCGCATCCTCGATAACTTCATCGACTTCGTCGAAACGGAGGGCGATCGCGGTGGGGGAGGAGGCAGAGGCGAAAATCGCGGCGGCATCAGTGGCGTCCTAGATAAGATCGACACTGCAAGCCGGAGGAGGAATCCTTCCTGCGACACCGGTGGCAGCAGTGTGCTAATGAATCTCCTGGTTTCCGGCTGCGATGTGAGTGCGGGATATGTTTGCTTGGTGAAGCCAAAGCCGTCGGCGAAGGGCATTGGAAACGCGTGAGGACACTTCCGGGAGGAAGCGAGTGTCCGAAGGGCTGCCTCCTTTTGGCCGCTGTCTCGTCGTTGTCGATTCTCCCAGAGCGGAAATTTTGCACGCGACTCGAAATGAAGGGTTCACTAACTATCACGCGATTGACTTTCACAAGATTGAAATTGTAGAGGAGAGGAGAGGCCAAAGGAGACGGCGGATCACGAGCTCGAGCCGATGGAAATTCTTCCTACTTTTTATACGACCGCTTATTCCTCGAGCTTGCGTCCGCGAACTCGAAGATCGCGTCTGAGATTTCGAAGTAGAGACGTAAAGGGTATAAAGTCGCGCACTTTGAGAGACAGAGATGCAAAATGAGTTTGTTGCAAGTTGCAGGTTGAAGAGGAGTCGTAGACAAGCGAGGTAGTTTCGCTTAGTCGTTTAATCCTAGAATGCACTGCGTTCAATGTTTATCTTAGATACAAAGAATATATATGTATATATATGTATGTATATATATAGATTATATATATAGATGAGACTAACGCTTTTACTCGTATTGAAAATAAATACGAAACATATAATAAAAACAAAAACAGAGACCTATGAAAGTTTTACTATAACATTTCTAGAGTTGTATGCGTGGTTAAATAATTATGTAAACAACGTGTTGGAGTGCATCCTAGGATTAAATGAGCTGTACTTTAGAGCCACGTTATGTACACAAATTGCAAAGTATATAAAATTGTTGATTGAATATTATGGAAATACATGGAACATCGAATCACCTGATCAGCTGCGTTTCGTTTCCTCCCATTGTCGTTCTCCAATGTCCACCATTCTACGATTTGCAATTTTACCATCAGATCGTCTAGAGTTATCACTTTCGAACAGACGTTCAATATAATTAGACGTGGTTTTATTTCATCGAGTTATTATTACATAACAATTGAAACTTTCAAACTCAAATCTTTTCAAGAAAAGATTAAAATAAAAACGATAAATTAATATCTGATTGTTCAGAATAAAATTTTTTGTTTAAATATATTTCCACTCCATCTGAAAATTTACTTTTGTTCAACAGTTTTGAATAGCTATTTTAGTTCTTTTTTGTTTGTAGTTTTTTTTCACGTATTTATTGCTTGGTTTCGAACCGCAAAATAATTTTTACGGAATAATTAGAAGAAATGTATCAATATTATCATTAATTGGATAATTATCAAGTTTTTATTTACCTGGACAACAAGGATTGCGATCACACGAGGTGGCTATCGTCTTTCATGATCTGTATGAGGGTTACCTTCGTTCAGATCACACAACATGATAGTCACAGTCACTTTACTCAGCAATAGAACATTTACATTTATTAAGCGCCTGTAGAGTCACGCCAACAGCAAGAAAGGGCGTCCAATGGTGCTAAAAGAGGCTTATCACTTATCAGCGTGATCTCCCTACTCTGTCCTTCTTTTCCCACGAAACGCAGTAGTGCTTTATTTTAAAGTCCACAAAAGAAACAAACTCATTTATCAAGTAATTAAACTCTTAATTAACACTGAGCTCTTGATATGAAGAATAAGAAATACGGGAAAAAAGGGTAAATATTTTAAGGGGAGTCAGTATATCCAAAAATAAATCTTAATAAGTCTTAATAAACATGAGTCCGCAAATGAGTCGTTTTTTAGGTAGTTTTACTTTTTAATTATTTAAATTTTTATTATTTTTACTTTTTCTTTTAAACGAACCAACTCGTTGCTACGATTACTGAGGTCCTTGTTCCATGAAGAAGTATTTACACGAATTATTAGTTAAATCAAGTTATCATACTATTGCAAATATTGCAATATCTCAAAAAGGCTCATTTACGGACCCATGTTTATTAACTTTTTTTAAAATTTATTTGTAAGCATATTAAATCTTAAAATATTTTCTCTTTTTTTCAAGACTATATAAATTTTAGACATTTATGTATATGACGATGAAGCGAGGATAGAAATTTAACGAATTTTTCCTCACATTTAAATTGAGATTATGTTATCACAATGCTGAAATATTTAAAATAAGAAATCTTGATAATAAATTAGATATCTCTTCAAATTTGACTTAAAATGCAAAATTTCACCTCTTACTTAATTCATCAAAATTCGTTGACTCGTCCTCGCATCTTTCCAAACGTATCCTGCAGAAGGAGGCAATTCGAATAAGGAATTGTGTGTGTTTTTTTTAAGGATCCTCTAATGAATTCCCGCAACGTGCCAACTCTGTTGTCGAGGAACCTGATGGCCCCGTTGTCTGTTAATGTGGACAATCAGATATCGCATTGCGGGACTGCAGACGTCATATCCTTGCCCGACCACCTCAGCCCGGACACCAGGAAACACTTGATCGGGCCCGTTACCGGCGGGGGCAGGGACGGGAGTGCAACTCCCATAGTCTCACCCACAACGTCCGCGATGGTATCCTTCGACGGCTTCGACTACGACGAATCCGCGGGCCTGCTCGAAGTCGGACCAGATCTACTCGGGAATCTACTGCTGGATCGAAATCCGGTGTGATCCATCGCGATGTGATTTATGCAGATACACCAGAGGATCCAGCGATCAAGAAAATTAGAAGCCAGATTTATTCAGTGTTCGCTCTTTCGTAAAAAAAGTCTCAGAAGTTTTTCTTTTATTTCCCTTTCGTGATACGAAATGCAGCTATATTTTTGCTTTCTTAATCTAATTAAATTGTAATTGGGCTGCTGATTAAATTCTCATTGTCGACGTTACACTCAGTTTCAGAACCTGTACAATATACTATATGCAGAAATAGAAAGCGTATGAAGGAATTGCGATTAAAATGTTACACATAGAGAGATTTTATGAGGATCCTGCTTCTAATTTTTGCGTGTAAATAGTCGTTTAATTCCCAGTGCTCTTTAATAATTTGTTAAGCATCCGAAGATCCCAGAAACACAGCGCAGTTTACAATTAAATTGAGGAAGATATTCAATTAATGTAAAAATGACGTGATTCGAGAACGTTAAGATCCAGATTTTAATTGGTATTTTTAGGGTGAGATAATTGTAAGATAATTTCTTTAAGTGGTAATCGCGAGTCACGTCGTTTTGAGTGATACTTTTTTACATTGTTCTCTGAAATCTGCGAGCGAATGTTTATCAAGTATGACAATGGGTTTTGACAAATTAGGACGAGGCAATTAATTTGTATGTTCTGACGAGCTGGATAGCGAGTTAAGTTTAGTAGGATGATGCTCTATTGTAAAAATGAGAGTCATATCTTTCAGTCAGGTCGATCAAAGGCTATACCATTTTTATATGACACGAAAAAATTTGTAACATTTTTGTCCGTGCATTTAATTGTTTTTCTATCACGTATTTTATAAACATCACATATGTATATCATAATTCTTTTGAGTGTATCATAATACATTCGCATTTTAAACATTAGTACAATTATTGAAAGAAATACGTGTTCAAGAGTAATTCTTATAAGATTTAATTTGTAAGGTATAAAAAGTTGCTTTCTACCACTAATTTGTAGTTTTTATTACAAATTATTGTTCGATTATATTAATTTGCTTCTAAAAAAATAACGTTTGGTATGGTAGGATTTAGATTGTAGGTATAATCAAGTTTGCCTAATTATCAAAGAAAGGTGGATGGTAAATTAAATGTTATCTAATAACAACAATCGCCCTTGAAATTGGCTAAGAAGGTTGCAGGCATTTATAAAAAAAAACAATTTAAACTTAATAAGAAAATATTAATTAAATAATTATTTAAATATGTCTAATGGAAAGGAAAACGTTGTAGCCTTTTAGCGACTCGACCTGTCTTTTCTAAAAGTTGTACATAAACGAATGCATTTATACGCATTGGCGTGCAAATTTGCGTATATATTAACTAATTAAGTAGGAAGTTTAACAAATAAAATGAAAGAAATGATAAATTGAAAGTGACATCAGGTTTGAGAGAGTAACGAGTGATTATCCCAACGTTTTGAAATATAAGAACTTAATAATCGAAATAAAAAAAAGAAGCATGGAGAACTTCTCGATTTTAATTTAAAACAAAATGTAATATGTCAACAGCAAAGAACGAGAAGTATTTCTGTTATACCTTTTATTATACATTACGTAATTTTATTTTAACATTCCTTTAAATATCGTTTTGCATATCATCAAAATGAAATAAAAATGAAACAATATTAATTATAGAGTTCAACAACAAAAATTACTTTTCAAATACCGGTACGAGATTAGTCGTTTCTTATATCTAGTATATTCTTTGTACGCGAATCCGGTTTCCAAATTGCTTCAACACGTCACAATTTTGAGAAAGGACCCCGCACAAATCTTGTGAAAATTGGGACCCGGGGGGGGGGGGTGCAAAAAGTTGCAAAAAGGGTTAATTTTACGAATTTTGTTATATTATAACTACAACATGTGACGTAATGAAAAAATTTTATTGCAATCAAAATGAAGTATACATATGTAGGACTTAACACGTGCAACACACACACATACATACAATTTAATAACAATTTTTATATTTACGCTATAATACTGATTCCAATATTTTGAATTTAATCAATTTGACATTTTGGTTTCGTATTCAGACACCTAAATACCCTTAAGTTTAAAAAAATACAATTGAAAAATAATGGTCAAAGATCTAAGTCTAATTCACAATTAACTTCCGCAATACTCCTCACATTTAACCTTAGATATCTTACTAACTACAGGAAACTACAAAAACTCCTTTTGAGAGTTGAAAGACCTAACAACATACTTAATTTTGATTGCAATAAAACTGCAGCACGTTACATATTGTAGTTACAATATAATAAATTTCGCAATAAACTTAGAATAAAATATTTAGACACTACCATCCCGTGACGGCTCCGAGTCCTTTATTTCGTGAAATTTGTGTTTAACACGTATGAGCCATACTAATTTGTCAATATAATAAAGTTCGTAAAAATAACCCTTTTTTGCAACTTTAATTGCAAATTCTCAAAATTGTAACGTGATGGAAATTGTATTATAAATTCGTGTTCAAAAAGCTATAAGAAACGGCTAGTTTCGGTATTTTTTTTGTTGAACTATGTTATCAGATATCGCATTTTGATTTAAAAATTTGATAGAACATGACATGTGGTGTTGCAATTTTAGGAGTTGCATCCAAATTGCTTTCAAATTAGCAAGTTGCAATGTCGTTAACATTAATTCTTGTCACATGTTACTGTCACATTGCAGTTGTTTTTATTGATTGTTACTATAGTTGTTACTGCACCGTAATTACTCGATGCATACAAGTAATATCTTATAATTAGCATTATGTTTGTCACTGCGATTATTATTGCAGTTACTATTGTCATATAAATTCAGACATTTTTTTTATTATAATTTTATTATTTTATTACATTATATTACAGGTTTAATGATACTATAAGTCCCAGTCTACAATAGATTATTTAAGCCCTAAAGCTAAACCTTAAGAAATTGACCAATCATGGTCAAGTATGAGTAGAATACGCGACTGTGATTAGTCAATTTCTTAAGCCTTAGGGTTTAAATCTCCATTGTAGATCGGCACTAATAACGTTGAATTAATAAATAGTTGACGGTATAATGATGTGGATATGATATGGATATAAAAATAACCAATATTTAGAAATAAATAATATTTCTAAAATTGAGCTGCATATATTTTTCACTTTTCACCCTAATATTGTAAATAGCCGGCGCTGCAAGCGAACAAGTTCGAAACTAGAAACGTGAAACTTTTTTGACACAGCTTGCTAGTTCTAAACAGACGTAGTTCGGTCTCCTTATTCTAGTCTTCATATAGTATTTTTTTTATTATTTTGATCTCAAAATATCGGCAAAGATGTTGGTTGCAGACATTTTGAGGTAATTCATCAATAATTTACCGATAGCAGATAATTTATCGACCGTTATACTTTTAATTATATTATAAATAAAAAATAAAAATGTGTATGAAGTATGAAAAGCATACAAGTTCAAATTTTTTTATTATAATTTTATTATTTTAATATGTTATATCACCCAGTTTAATAATACTATAATAACGTTGAATTAATAAATAGTTGATGGTATAACGGTGTGGTTAAGATAATGGATACAAAAGGAAAATAACTATGAATGTTAATTAAAAATAAATAATACAATCTAAAATTGAGTTACATGTGTATAGGTTTTCACTTTTTTTCAAATTGACGTATTCTTTTATTAACATTGTAAAAATGGCAATTTTATAAATTCTCAAATCTGTATAGTGTCGACAGTAACCGACAGAATAAAATATCATATACATCTTTAGACACTTCGTAGCCAATGAAATGTTCCATACGACATCTTTAGATAAATTCAACACTGTCCTGCATATAAGATCCGACTATGAATACCGGCCTAAAACACCTAAAAATACTACTTAATCTTGTAACGACCAAACACTAAAAAAAAAAAATGTGTTACAGCCTGTACGCGTCAACCTTGCAACAGTAATTTAGAAAAGCCTACATTATAAATAATGTATAACATTTTGTACTTTATAAATTTTAATAAAATCTATTTTGACATAAATATCTGTCTTGTGAACAAATAGGTCTGGAAAGGTATGCTTAAGAACAATTTAAGCATATACATATGTATATGGAATATATGAAATTATTTATACATACACATATGTATACATACATATAGAGAATATAATAATCTACATTATGTATATGTATAAATACATATTAATTATTACTATTTATACTTACTTTAGTCTCTAATGATTGCTACATAATTAAAAATTATATGTATGCCTAAAAATTTAGATACGTTGCGTTTTTTTTGCAGAGATAAATATTTCATTAAATTGACTTATTTCCTAAATACATTTATTACAACACACGTCCATATGTCAATTTATGTACTCCGTACTTTTTAATAATTGCATACAATTTGTCTGTTACAAAATTTGATTCATTTATATCGTGACAACAATAACGTCGCCTCCACTTAATTTTTTTTATTTATTTTTTACAAGACGTAGGAGTCCGTTTCCAATGTCTAACGATTCTGATGCAACATACGCAGGCGATGTGATGCACAACAAAACCGTGGAAGCGCTCGGCTATATCTGTCATAAGAGGGAAAATGCGTAACCATATAGTCATTCAAACTAGAGATTCTCAACTCGGAGACTGTAACATCGCTGAGAATCCGTGGAATTAACAATTCTGCCGTTCTAAAGGCGCCGATATTCTTATCATCAAGGTATCCGATTTTCATCGGCGTTTACAATGAAATCGAGCATTTGTTTTCAAATGCAGTTTCATTTCTTTGAAATCCAGTTTTGCGAAAGAACGCGCGGAAACAGATCCGCGGTTTGAGAAGCCCGGGGTGCCAAGATGACGCACGAAGTTAGCCGCATTGAGCGACGAACAGGCCCGGGCGTTGATTGGCGCGCGTGGGTCCTCACTTTCGACCAATCGCGGCTCACCACGTGCACGTACGGCGCGATGGTGGCAACCGAGTTGTCTACCTGTTGGTTGCCAGTGGTTGCGTCAGTTTGCTTGCGTTTGTCACGTCGCGCGGTGGTGTCCGGGCTCGTTCGCGCGTTTCGTTCGGGCTGATCGGCCGATAACCGCGCCGAGTTCGAAACTGTCGCAGGGAGGAGCCTGACGGGGTCGACATATACGGCAATCACGTCGCAGCGGAAGGCCAGAGCTCGAGGGCGCTGTCAAGAAAGTAGGACGCCCCGCGTCGCGTCGCATGGCGGATTATGAGCTCCGTGAAGAGTGTCATCATCACCCTGCCTAAGGGAGTGCCCAAGGCGATCCCGAGGAACGAGCCGCCGCGCAGCTCGCTGCCCAAGCTGAACTTCACGACGTCGATCCTGGTGGACAAGGCGAGGATGGACGGCAGGAAGGGCGCCTCCGGCGGCCAGCAGGAGGAGACGCGCGACAGCGACGCCGACGTCGCGACGCTTCTCGAGCCCGTGGACACCCGCGTGCGTGGGAAGAAACGCCGACTGGATCACCTGACATGGGAGGAGAAGCTGCAACGAAAGTAAGCGGGAGAGTCCGCTATATATCCGATTATCCGGGATTTTCCCGCGTTAATACTTACTTCCGGGTTGTCTTCCGGAAAAAAAACGGGAAGAAGCTTTCTGTTTACGTTAAAAATAATTGGTAGGAGATTTAGCGGAAACTACAAGATTGTATTTTTGACTGTAAAACACGAATCTGCAAGTTAAAATCGTCGGTCACAGTAACGCGTGAAAATGCGTTTTTGTAGAGATCGTCGCGCGGCTTAGATATTGATAATATTTCGGGCAGAGCCCGACGCTGGAGATGTCCGTGCGCGTCCTTGTTATTTAAAAACCGACGCCGTGTTTTTCTAAAAATAATATAGACTTTGCTGCTAAGACCAAAACAGAGAAGCTGCCAGTCTTAGCTTGGTCGCGTATTTCACTATGATTCAACTGACTTGGTTCATACTAATTGGATTGTTAGTAGAATAGAACGCGTTCCACAAGTGCAAACTGTCGAGTTAATTTCTATTAAATTTCGTCGAGTCTGTATAGAAATTCCGCTATCGGAGGTTCATGCAATATTTATAGAATTGCATCAGCCGACGACTTATCTCTTTCAATGGAAACCTGACCGGACGGTCTCCTGTAGAACGATCAGCAGGCGTATCCTCTTTACTCAGTTTGTAGATAAATCGAGCCTATCTCTCTTATCAGAGCTGCGATGTCAGCACCGAGGGGTAAACCGCCTGAGGGCATTGGATGCTTTCCAGCAACGTATGTACACTGGCGACATTAATGCCTGGCCATCTGAAGTTGCACGCGGATCGAGGCATTTTTTTTAAAGCGTGCGACTTTCTAACTCTTCGTGCGTCATAACTGTAGAAACAGCGAATCGGCGTTGCCGGTTTAATGTCATGATGCGCGCAGAGTCGGAAAGTCGCGCGCTTTCCAAACGTACTTCGATCCGCGTGCAACTTCAGATGACTGGGCATTAACGACGCTGTGTAACACCAGTGAATCGTTTTATCTTTGTTGTTTGTCATTATTGAACGAGGATAAAACGATTCTCTGTATTACACTCTGTCAATATGTGTTTCTTGCTGGAAAGCACCTATTCCAGCAACGTACACGGGCGACATTAATGCCTAGCCATCTGAAGTTGCGCGCGGATCGAGGCATTTTTTAAAAGCGAGCGACCTTTTAACTCTTCGTGCGTCATGACTATAGAAACAGTGAATCAGCATTGCCGGTTTAATGTCATGATGCACGCAGAGTCGGGAAGTCGCACACTTTCCAAACGCACTTTGATCCGCGTGCAACTTCAGACGGCATTAATGACGCCGTGCAACACCAGTGAATCGTTTTATCTTTGTTGTTTTTGTCATTATTGAACGAGGATAAAATGACTCTGTGTTACACTCTGTCAATATGTGTCTCTTGCTGGAGAGCACCTGTTACTAGGCCTTTTTTGGGCATTAGTGGGTGTTGTTTGGCCTTGCTGGGGCGTTGTAAAGAATCTAGAAAGATAAAAGAAGATAAAACAAGATAAAGTAATCGGTCAGCACGGATGGTTTGCCTCAGCGCATTTATTCTCGCAGTCAAGCTCCCGGAAGAGCGGCATTTACGTAAGAGACTGAAGGATGCACGAAGTATGTGTTTTGCGAGGCATTTCTTGCATAACAAACTCGCGATCAGTTTACTGATGCGTTTCCACTGATGTGAATGCGATCATTAAAAAAGTACTTTTTAAAAGAAGGGAAAAAGTACTAAATATACGTAAAAACGTAAACTGTTATATAAAAATTTTTTTTACTTGTGGAAAAAAATATAAAATTTTATTCACTGACGTAAATGCAAAATTACGTGACGAGCATCATATAAATTATCGATTCGGTTAACACTGGTCTGCAGATAATGAGATAGCGGAGTAATCGCCGGCAGCAAGTCGTTTCGTCATTTTTCTTATCAAATTGAAAATTAATTGTCCATAAAACAAACAATGAAATGAGAAACAGTATTGCATCATACATTGGGAAACGAAGTAGATTTTAACACAAGGCAATGTTCATTCTTTTGAAGCGTTCCAATATATGCAGTTGAAATATATAGTTTCATCTGAATGTTGCGAAAATAATAAAAAAACTTGACGCGCAAGTTTTTTAATTTTTGAAGTCTGAATGGAAATTTTATTTTTAAAATTTCTGCCAATATCTTGTTGAAACAAGTTGTCTTCCCGTTCTCTTCCCGCGAGATAGAATTTATCTGTCTAAACAAACGATTATTTTATTTATTTATTTACTTAATTTTACATTCCGCAATTCTCTTTGTCCGGTAGAAAACTGAAGAACCGCGTAGCCGCGCAGACCTCGCGGGACCGCAAGAAGGCTAGATTGGACGAGCTTGAGGATACGGTGAGGATACAGAAGGAAAGGAACGAGCTGCTTACGCAGGAGTGCGCGATGCTGAGGTCACGGAACGAGTTGCTGACGTCGCAGAACGAATGGCTGTTGAACGAAAATAAGAGGCTCAGGAACGAGAGAGATGCAGTGAGGAACACGCTAACTGATCAGCAGCAGCCGATCTGCTCCGCCTGTCGGACCCGTGTCGACGGTGCTGTACCTTCGCTGGGATCTGCAGTATCCCTCAATGACCCTCTGCCGCAGGGTGGGACAGCACAGTCGGCATCGCGATCGACGCGGACGCCACGAGCAACCGTGCTGCTGAAATTTCTGACTCTCTACTTCCTCTTGAAGAACTGTTCAGCGCTTTCCAAAGCGTCGACGCCGAGAGATTCGAAGAGCTGGCAGAGAGCCTCCTACGCGACGTCAGCCCAGAAGCTGAGGCAAATCCTCATAGATCTAATGAACAAGTGAGTCTCGGGAGTTGCGGTCTACATGCAACTGTACCTCATGTTGTAGTTCTCGTTTGTCTCGCACATTCCTAATCCCCACACAGCAAGATGATAACGGAAAGATCTCTTAATGGTCTCTCATTTAAGATTTGGGCATCCAAAAATACCTTCAGAAAGACAACATAATGAAGTTAGATATAGCTCTTATGCGCCATTTGCAAAAAAATGAAAGCCTTTAAAAAATCTTCAGAAAGCTAACTTTTTTTTTAGATATCCTGTAATACATATCAATATTACATCTCAAACTGAACATCTTTAAGAGTTCATTATTATTATGTTAATAAGACATGTATTCCAAGATATTTAAAACGCAAAGCCTTTGGTGAGAAATTTTTAATAAGTAGACAAACTATGCTCGAGTGTGTTAACTTGTGTCGATTTGTGTCTCCCAAAAGAAAAGCAGCCCATATCTTACAATTGAAGCATATCGTTCGTAAATAACAGTAGCCAGTATGTTTACTTCTTACACAAAGTAGTATTTTTTCTAATCTGAAAAATACAGCGTGATTTCTCAATAAGTACAAAAATGTGGGTGGATATTCCTTGGCTTATTTTAAAATGTTCTACAAAAATGATATAATATATATAGGATATTTTCTTTATACAATAAACCAAAGGAGTATTCCCTCACATTTTTTGCACTTAAGTCACCCTATAGGCGCACATTAATAGATTTTAACATTCTAATTGCGTCATTCATTATTCTTTATTTTAATTTTCTGTTTTATTCGCTTTGGAGAAAATTGCATGCTTATGTGTAGTAAGTTGGAGGATATGACGCAGAGATGGATGAAATATTCCGAAGTAGAACGGTGTTCTGATCTTAATACGATACGATACGATGCGAATGCAAGTTTTAATCTCCAAAGAAAGTCCGAACGTTTCATTCATTTCCTCTGCAATCGCGCGTCCTCATGATTTAGTCGTTCCCCCTTAATGACCTGCCGATCGCGCTCCACTCCGCAGGTGTCCGCCAAAGAAGCTCCCATTAAAAAATCTGACCATCCAGAGGCATTGGTGGGGCAGGCATCAGAAAATGTGGAAGCCAATAGAGTTGGTGGAGGCGTAAACGTCACATCATCCCCCGCCTGTCTAGGAAATACATCCAATTGGTTTCTCGCGGATTGCGACACAAAAAGCACAGCGTCGATCAAGACCGAAACCGAGATTAAACAGGAGTCAGAGACGGCATCGGACCTCGACACTCTCTACGGCACATACGACGAAACCACCAACTCTATCACGATTATGTATCCGGGCGAGGAGAGCGACGTGGGTATCCAGGAGTGCGTGCAGGAGGTGATCAGTACCGATAACAACGCCATCAGCCAGGACGCTGCACATCTTACCGTTCCTTCCTCAGGCATCCATTTGCCGTGTTACACGACGCAATTTTCACCGGCGTACACCAATTCTATGTCACCCGCGATGAGCGACGTGGACAGCTGCGGCGTCACTCCGGCGAAGCAGCTAGACTACGCCAGTTTGTCGGACGGTGGATACGAGTCGCATGATTCTCCGCAGTCGCACATGTCGGACGCACTGTTCGATTCCTGGCCCGAGAGCTTCAGCGAGCTGTTTCCTACGTTGGGCTGACAATTCCGGATAAGGCGTGCTGCCGAGGCGAGCGCCAGACCGATGTCGAGTCGTTACATCTGTGATATGGAAAATTGCAGCAAAAATATGATACAAGAGAGAAAGGAAGGAGAGGCTCACTTACGGAAAATATCATAATACTGTACATTGTTTCAGTCATTTGACATTTCATAAAAACTCGTAAGCTTCGAAAGACTAAACTTTTGCACATTTTTTAAAATCAGTATTGAGCAGATTAACTTCTACTCAATACTGATTTCGCTTTCGCAGATAAACATGAAATGAATGATTCTTGAAAAAGTAACTTATTTCACGTAATGTATATTTTGTATAAAGTCGTATTTAAGTTCACTTAGCGTGTACGTTCATTACTCCTGTGCACTGAAATTCTCCTACATTATTCAAATGATATATGATTAGATTAGATTATGACTAGATTCAAATGAACTATACAAAGAGATATTACTGATTAAAAGGGCGTTCTAATACAAATGAGACTTTCTAATCAAATTATTTTAAAACAGCTCCGTCTTTGTGAAGAAATAAATTTGTTTCCTCTTCTTTCTCTTTTGTCGGGCGAGTTTCGGATAATAATTTTATGTGGTACAAGTAAATACGCAGCACGTATTGTTACATATTGTCTAATTTGACATTAACAGTGTATTAAATTTTTTGCAATATAAAATTAATATATTGAGACTTCAGCCAAGAATATATTTTTGTATATATATATCGAAGATTATGAATTCTTAATTTATTCGATGTTGTAAGAAAATACGTAGTTTTCCATAATCATGATCAATGAATTTTTTTTACACACACCTACACAAACGTCTCTATTTAAGAAATTTATTGTATACATGTCTATACATATTATATATATTATATATATATATATTGATTTTTCGATCTTCGCTGTGCAGTAGAAATAAATCCTCAAACTAATGGCATATCTCGTTTTCTCTGTGCACTAAAGCGTCATTTGTATATGGTGACGCAAATTTGTTTTATGCAATTTCCTTCATTACTCCCTTTATATATGACTATGTGTGATTCGATATAGCAGGTATGTGTGAATTTGTAGCGCTATTTGCGCGGTAATGTCAAAATGATTATTATATTAAATCCTACTTAAATATTTTATAAATATACGAAATGTTTCTATCGCACGGGAAGAGCTTTTATTAGGGAAATATTTGGTAGCAAAGATACGGTACAAATATTTACTAGATATTAACGATACAAATTACTAGCAACGATAAACTATAGCACCCTTTTCGTTAATTCTTAAACGGTATGACACAACTCAAACTGAGTAGTTTGGAAAACGTGCGTGATTTACTATGCGAAATTAAATAGAATAGAATTTATAAAGCGCACATATTCCATCGTATCTTATTTTTTGACAATTTACAATTTTGCACGGAAATTTCATAGGAGAGAGATTTCA